AAAAAAAAAAAAAAAAAGAAAGATTTAGTTTTTACTACTTTTAGCTATTAGTCCTGTAATTGAAGTATAATAGAATTAAAAATTGAACTTTAGGAAAATTAATCTAATTTAATAGCTCTTAAAACTTTTTAAAACTATTTTATCTTGATTATTTGTTAAAAACAAAGTATTAGAAAAGGCTAGTCATTAATCCATTTTTCCTATTGGTCAGATATTTATTATGTAATATAATATATAAATACTAGCTGTTTCATTAAATGAATTATATGAAGACAAATATGTTGTTTGATTAGTAATTTTTGGACAAAGTATATGTTGGAAACTGTGAAGGTTCTTATTTATTAAATTCTTTTTTACTATATTTGAAGTCAGATTATTTGTCAATGATTTTAAGTTACATGAACTCGAAAAATATTTAAATTAATTTGTATGAGTGCTTTTTTTAATAAATTGAATGGAATTTTTAAGATCTTTTATTATATAGACTTACAACATATCACATGACACACATGTATGGACACACACACACACAAATAAAAGATTTTCATTCTTTGAAAAGATTTTTAATGATTTTTTACATCCCCCTCAAAATGAGAATGCTTTATATATTTGAACTCTGTCGAGTCTTTATAGATACTTGTATTAAATTGAGGATTTAAAAGTTGTCTTGATCAGTTCCACCCTGGCTTTTGCAGTCTTGCCAATTATTGCTTATTTTTATGCCCCTTACAAAGAACTGAACCTGGTCATTTTTTTCTTGCTTGCCCAGAATAGAAACTTCTTAATGCTGTGACTGATTCCCGGACATAATTAGATATTTTCTGAGTCTATTGAAATAAGGAATAATCTGCTTTTATTTTTGTATGTACACTTAATTATATACATTTTAGCATTACTTTTTAATTGTTCATTTTGCCATTAATTGTTCTAACCCTAAATATTTGTGTAATATGTACAATTTATAGATTAAACAAAGTAGAAAGTTTCCATTTTAAAGGTACGTATAGAGACCCAGGATGAGTAAACGTGAGCATTTTATGCAGATTAATTGCCAGAGAGCCGGTGTCCTTGGTGACTAGGAGGGAAAAGCATTTCTAACAGGGAGAGGGTCACATGGCAATTTTTCTGTCCCCATTTTTTTGTAATAGTGGAGGATTGGGAGCACGAAGATATTTTAAGAGACCACTAATTTGCTGGCAAGTTGTATTTTTGAATACTAATTTAATTGATATGTGGCCTTTTAAACTCAGCATGTTTCTAAATTAGTTACTGATTTTAAGATGGAGCCCATTAATTAAGGCAAATAAAACATTTCTTTTTTTAAATTATTACTTAATTTTATTTGTTCATTTTAATGTGACAGAGAGAGACACACAGAGAGAAAGAGAGAGAGGGGAAATGAGAAAGCAAGCCACAAGGTCCAGGACTCTAACTGTGGTCTGCCATGTGGGAGTGTCCAGCACCTTAACCACCGCGCCACCTGCTGGTCCCCAAAGAAAGCATTTCTAATGCTTGTAACTCAGCGAGGATATCGCTGAATGAGAAACAATTCAGTTTGATTTGTCGGTATATTGTAAACCATTTTAAGAACTCTTTCATTTAGCATTCTTTTTGCTTTGGGCAAGCTGGTAATAAAGCAAAAACTTTAGCAGAACTTTTTTATGTCACTTAAGTGTATTATCTATTTTTAAAAAGAGTCTTAAAAGAGATAAAATAAAATTAAATCTTTTAGAAGCTTCTGCATATTAAAAGGTATCCCTGGATAGTACTAATTTGGGAATTCTTAATTTTTTAAGAGTTATTTATTCATTTAACTTTATTTGTTATTATTATTTTTTAACCCAACCAGAGAGAGACAGAGAAAGAAAGGGAAAGTGAAAAAGCAAGCCACTGGGTCCAGGACTCAAACTGCTATGGATCATGTGGAAGTCCAGCATCTCAACCACCACACCACTGGCTGGCCCCAGCGAATTAATGGCCATAGTAATTTTAAATTACATTACTAAGATGTCACCACTTTGAAAATATTGGCACTTTCAGGAAGTACTTCAATTTTTAGAATTAGGAATTTGATTTTTTTATATAAATTTTTAGTCCCTTTAAACCGAGAAGAACTGAAGTGGGAAATAATTTATTCTGGCATTGGCCCTGAGCTTTTCTTGACCAATTTAGACAATGATTTTTTTTTAAGCATGCAAATAAATAAATAAATAAATAAATAAATAAAAGAAAGAAAGAAAATAAAAAGGAAACTAAGATGTTAAACAAAAATCTCATGAGAAAAAAAAATTTTTTTAGAGAGTTTTTTTTTGCTATAGGGCATGTGCGCTTGCCAGACAGACAGAGACAGAGAGACAGAAAGTGAGAAATCACCCCCCAGGGGGGATGGCCATGCCACAATCCCTTCTCCTCCATTCTCCTCTGGGGACCTTGGGCACGCATGCACACGCACCTGGCTTGTGTTTAAGCCACCAGGTCCGGGACTCGAACCGCGGTCAACTACATGGGAGTCCAGGGGCATAGCCATTATGCTAACTGCTGGTCCCAGAAAAAAAAATTTTAACCTAACATTCTGATGCATTTGCCACAGTAATAGCCACTAGTAAGTGGCTAGTTTCTGTCTGACAGACAACTGGATTCAGTTGAGTTAATTACCTAATCCAATCCAACCCTGGACTCAGTCCAGTTTTTATTGCGACTCCAAATCTAGTGTGGACCAAAATTTGTTCATACAAAACTCAGAGAGCTCTAAACTTAAGTCCATGGAGCTCAGATCTGGGAGAGAACTTACACATGATCCCCAGTTGCTATGAGAGAGCAATGGATGACAAAGGGTCCTGCAGGTACCTCGTTTGGCTGCTCCTGGTGGGTCACTGGAAGCTCTACTTCAAATCCCACTTCTGCTGCTAGAATTGTAAAAATAAAAATAAACCAGCCAATGAATAGAGGTTTAAATTGAATAAATTTTAACAGGATTTAAATTGGGCAGTTGTCCCCAGACTTCTGGGCAACTCCAGCTAGCCTCATGGCCACACGGTATGTAAGTTCTGGAAAAGGCAAGTGACATGTACAGGAAGAGGAACGTGATGTACAAATACAAAAGGGAAGAAATGAGGCAGGGAAGCAATTTGAGTTGGTTACATCTGAAGTTTGTCAGCATTAACACAGTTTAAATGGTGAGATGTGTCTGACTGAAGCCTAGCTGCTGTGATTGGCTAGAACCTAGCAACCAGGTCAGAAAAACAGCTTGACATATATAATTTTGGCTTATCCATAAGAATTTAAGTGTGGAAATACGGTGGCTATTTTAGGCCAAAGTAGTTTAATTCAACAGTTTCAAGCCACCAGGTCCAGAATTCGAACCATGGTTAGCAATGTGGGAGTCCAATGCTGTAACTGGTGTGCCATCTGCTGGCCCCTAAAATTCTCTTATTTTATGTTAAGCCAGGATACATAAGGGTCACAAATACTGAAGCGAGAGTTCCTGATACGAGGACAGTTTTGTTCCTGGTGCATTTATTCTGTAATGTCTTCTCTGACCCTCCACTCTTCTGAATCCCTCCAAGGTTGCACTGTTCACGTGGCTCACCAAACAAAACAGTGGGAGTAGCATGTGTGTGGGCATCACAGAGGCTTGGGGTGAGAGCCTGCCTCTACCGCATGCTCCTTATTTGATCACGGAAGAGTTATTTATTCCTCCTCAGTCATTTTTTTCTTATTTATGTGACTAGTAAAAACTACTTTTAAGGGTGGGGTGGGGGGAAGAAAACTATATAAATTTTCTGATACACAATCAGTGTTCAATATCATCCTCGTTATTGCTATACCACTTGCTATCAAAATTTGTTTCTCTCCTTGAAAGTCACTCACAGGCAAAAACATATTTCAGTATGGGGCCAGCAGGTGGTGCAGTAGTTAAGACGCTGGACTCCTACATGGTCAACTGTGGTTAGAGTCCCTGACCCGGCACTTGCGCATGAGCGCCAAAATCCCAAGAGGAGAGCAGAGGAGAAGGGATTGCAGCATCGTCATCCTCCCTGGGAGGTGATGTCTTGTACCGTCTCTCTGTCTCTCTCTCTCTGTTTCTCCAAGGAGCACACGCACCCTATAGAAAAGTCCCTCTCTCCAAAAATAAGGAAAAGAAAGCAATACAGATGGGCGTGTCCTGAGAATGTGCGGAAGTACTGGTCACTTGCACCATTTTGTTGACTGATTATACATGACTAGTAGCTACAGACCGGCTCCAAAGTTCTGTTTCATTTCCCCTGCAGGTCACTGGAGACGGGCCCTGAAAACTGGTAACCCAGGTAACAGAGTTTGTCCTTCTGAGATTCCCCAAGAGTCACATCCTGCAGGCCCTGTTGTTCCTGGGGCTGATGGTGGCCTACGTGGTAACAGCCACAGGCAACCTGCTCATCATTGCCCTCAGCTGGGTGGATCGCCACCTCCACACACAGATGTACCTCTTCCTGTGGAACCTGTCCTTCCTGGAGCTGTTGCTGGTCTCTGTCGTGGTTCCCAAGATGCTGGTCATCACCCTCATGGGGGATCGCACCATCTCATTTGCCAGCTGCATCGTTCAGTCCTATCTCTACTTCCTTCTAGGCACCACGGACTTCTTCCTCTTAGCCATCATGTCTCTGCACCGTTACCTGGCCATCTGCCACCCGCTCCACTATGAGACCCTGATGAGTAGCCGTGTCTGTTCCCAACTGGTGCTGGCCTCCTGGGTAGCTGGCTCCCTCTGGGTCCTCTGCCCCATCATCCTCATGGCCACCCTGCCCTTCTGTAGCCCCAATGGCATCGAGCACTTCCTCTGTGACAGTTGGCCCTTGCTGAAGTTGTCTTGCGGGGACATCCGCCTGCTGGATCTCTTGGCTTTTGTGTTCTCCACGTCAGTGCTGCTGGGCTCACTGGGCCTGACCTCAGTTTCCTACACCTGCATTCTTGCCACGGTCCTCCGGAACCCCAGTGCTGCCGAGAGAAGGAAAGCGTTCTCCACCTGCACCTTGCACCTCACCGTGGTGGTCATCGTCTACGGCAGCTCCATCTTTCTTTACATCCATTTGTCAGAAGCTCAGTCCCTGCTGCTCAACAAAGAGGCCTCTGTCCTGAGCTGTATCGTCATGTCCCTCCTGAACCCGTTCACCTTCAGTCTCCGCAACGACAAGATGAAGCAAGCACTGGGAGACTCTCTGAGGCTGCTGCAGCCCACTGCTGCGAGGAAACTGTGAGGGTCGCAAGTCGGAGGAAGCCTTCCTGTTACACTGGGGGACCCGACACTCACAGAAACGTTTTAGGATGTGTTTGAAGGTAAAACAACTCAGATAACACCCTGAACTTTTCTCAGATAATTAAAGCAGTAGTCAGGTCAGTCCCTAGCAGAGCAGTGAAGCTCCAACAGCTGACTGGCTGGAGTCCAGCCCTGTTGGCTTGACGAATACACTGGGCAGGGCCAGTCCATGGTGTGTTGGTGAAGGCAGCTGGATCACACATGGCCAGCTGTGTAGTTCAAGTCCTGGTGGCTGGAGAAACATGGTAGGTGCATGTATGTGCCTAAACTCCCCAAAGGAGGGGGAATGGAAGAGAAAGGATTGTGGGACACTTTCTCAGTTTCACTCTCTGTCTCTGGTGAGCACACATGTCCTCTGTAAAAAAATTATTTTTAAATAAATAAAGCAAAAAGAAAAACATTCCAGGCACACATGTGCATGCTCAAAATTCTGTTAGGGTAGAGAAATGGAGGAGAGCTCTCTGGCAAGCACACGCGCTCTATAGCAAAAAATCTCTCTAAAAAGTAAGTTCTCGGCCTGGGGACGTTGCGGGCCTTTCCGGGCTCTGCGCGTCTCCCCCGGGGCCCTGCCGAGCCGGCG